CATATGATAGTGTGTACCGCTCCTCAGTTAAATATTCATGCATCAGAAGGAATCAACCGTTTTGATATTCAGTCCTCCTTGAAATATGAAGCTCTGGCTCCCTGCATAACTTTGAAGAGCTGGGTCCAAACACTATACTCACTGAGTGCAAAAACAAAACCTTTAGGATCAAGAGATGTTTTGCCAAATAATTGTCAACTTTATGAAATAATCCTTACCTATAACTTTCATCAATCCAAAAGTGGGGAAGTAACTCCAAGCTGCCCACTACTTTGTGAATTATTATATGAATCAGAATTTGACAGCCAACTGTGGATCATCTTTGACCAGCATAAAAGACAAATGGGTTCAGGCGATGCCTATCCACATAAGTATTCGATGAAACTGGAGAAAGGAGATTATACAAGTCGTCTACAGATTTGTCATGAGCAATTCAGTGATTTGGAACATCTTAAAGATCTTCCATTTATTGTTTTTTGTAGGTTGTCTAATACCTTGAGCTTAGATATTCATGAAAATCATAGCCTTGCACTTCTAGGAAAGAAGAAATCGAGTAATTTGACACTACCTCCCAAATATAACCAGCCATTCTTTGTTACTTCCTTACCTGATGACAAAATACCTACAGGGGCAGGACCTGGATGCTACTTTGCAGGATCCTTAAAAAAAGCATTTGGGCCACTTAATGGAGAATGCACTTTCTGGCCAGAGCATACAGGATTCTTTTGTCCAACAGGTTAAAGGAAGCAGAGAGCTGTCACAGTGGAAATGGCCCTGGTGCCCTATGAGGAGACTGCGGGAATGGGGCTGCAGAAATTCCACAAGCCTCTTGTCACCTTCTCCTTTGCAAACCACACCTTCCAGATCTACCAGGACTGGAGGCAACTGGGAGTCACAGCCGTGATTTGGGATGCAGTAAGCAAATCCTGGGGAGCCTCTGAAAACATCTGCAATTGATTATAAGACTGGTTTTTATTAAAAAAGAAAGAAAAGAACAGCTTTGTTGAGATATAATTCATATACTGTACATGTCACCTAAGGTGTACAATGAACTGGTTTTTTAAAGTAAATTCAGAGTGGTACAACCATCACCATGCTCAATTTTTAAATATTTTCAAGACCCCATCCCCTCCAGAAAAAAAACTTCTACCCACTAGAATGCTGGCAATCCTGATCATCTTCCCCCAAATAAATTGCATTTTAAGGGTGGGTAAAGGAAAGTTGAGGGTAGTTAAAATACTGCACAAAGAATATTGTAAAATGACAAATCCCAATGTGAAGATCATGTGTTTTCTCTTTTTAAAAATATTTTTTATTGCTTTAAGAGAGAAAGGGAGAAGGAGAGAGAGATAGAAACATCAATGATAAGAATCAGTTATCAGCTGACTCCCACAGGCCCCCTGCTGGGGATCGAGCCCGCAACCCAGGCATGTGCCCCTGACCAGAATCAAACCTGGGGCCCTTCAGTCCACAGGCTAATTCTCTCCATTAAGCCAAATCGGCCAGGGCCATATGTATTCTTTAAGTTCTGCATGGTTGTAATGGTCCCCAAATCTACGCTAATTAGAGTGACATGTCCCGGACGTCCTTCCAAACAAAGCCTTAGCGGCTGTGAAGGGCTGAGGCTCAGGCCAGCAGTGGTAGCAGAAGCAGGGTAATAGGGGCGGTGCCTTCCCCTGATCCACCAGGTCGCCTCCTGCAGAGGGAGACCAGACTGGTGATCAGGCTGGCAGGGGGCAAGTTAGGGGTGATCAGGCCAGCAGGGGTGCAAGTTAGGGTTGATCAGGCTGGCAGGGGGGCAAGATAGGGGTGATCAGGTCGGCAAGCAGAGGGGTTAGGGGCAATCAGGCAGGCAGGCAGGCAGGCGAGCGGTTAGGAGCCAGCAGTCCTGGATTGCAAGAGGGATGTCCGACTGCTGGTTGTCCATAGGGATAGGGCCTAAACCAGCAGTCAGACATCCCCCAAGGGGTCCCAGATTGGAGAGGGTGCAGGCTGGACTGAGGAACCCACCCTCCATGCACAAATTTTGTGCACCAGGCCTCTAGTTATTTTTGTATAAAAATGCAACCAACTTCTGAATATTTATTTTGTATCCTGCTACTTTACTGAATTCATTGATCAGTTCTAGTAGTTTTTTGGAGGAGTCTTTAAGTTGCCTCAAATATTTAAGACTGGAACTGCCATTTGACCCAGTAATCCTACTTGTAGGTCTATATTCTAAGAATCCCAAAACACCAGTCAGAAAGAATATATGTACCCCTATGTTCATAGCAGCACTATTTACAATAGCTAAGATCTGGAAACAATCCAAATGCCCATCAATAGATGAGTGGATAAAATGGAATACTATGCAGCTTTAAACAAGAATTCCTTATCCTTTGAGACAGCATAAAGGGGCCTGGAGAGTATTAGAAGCAAAATAAGCCAGTAAGAGAAAGACAAATATCACATGATCTCTCTTATATGTAGAATCTAAAGAAAAAATAAACTGATAAACAAAATAGATCCAGTGACTTTGAAGCATGCAGTGGTCTGATGAATTTCAGAAAGAAGATGGGAGGACGAGTTTCCCAGTGAACTTATATGCATAACCCATGGTCAGACAAGAGTGTGGTGAAGCACTGGGGAGAAGGCAGGAGCAGGGTGGAGAGTGTCATTGGTGCAAAAAAGGGACATCTTCAGCACTGATATATATGATATGGAGTTCATATCCAAAATTCATAAAAACCCTATAGTATTCAACACCAAAATAAACAATCCAATGAAAATCATGGACAAAGGACCTGTATAGACACTTCTCCAAAGAAGATGTACAGGTGGTCAATACACATAGGAAAAGATGTTCAATGTCACTAATTATCAGAGAAATACAAATTAAAACCACATTGAGATATCACCTCACAACTGTAAGAATAGCTATCATCAACAAATCCACAAATGACATTTGTGGGTGACAATATGGAGAAACGAAGACCCTGTGAACTGTTGGTAGAAATGCAGATTGGTGCAGTTAACTTTGTGAAGCAGTATTGAATTTTATAAAAAAAAAAAAAAGAAAGAAAGAGGAAAGAAAGAAAGGAAGGAAGGAAGGAAGGAAGGAAGGAAGGAAGGAAGGAAGAAAGAAAGAAAGAAAGAAAGAAAGAAAGAAAGAAAGAAAGAAAGAAAGAAAGAAAGAAAAAGAAAGAAAGAAACTGCCTCATTACCCAGTGAATCCAGTTCTTGGGATTTATCTGAAGATATCCAAAGCAGTCATTTGAAAGAATATATGTACCCCTGTGTTCATTGTAGTGTTATTTACAATAAACAAGCTTTGGAAGCAGCCCAGTACCCATCAATAGATGAGTGGATAAAATGGTATACAATGGAATACCACTCGACCATAAAAAAGAAGGAAATGTTACCTTTTCTGACAGCATGGATGGACCTAGATGGTATTATGGTAAATGAAATAAGCCAGACAAAGAAAGACATCTGTAATACTTTCAACAATAAAGAATTTTAAAAAATATTCTAATATGGTGATGTCAGCATTATGGTGGTATGAGTTGTTTCCTTTGTCTCTACTTTTAAATTTATATATAACTAGTTGGACTCTCATAGTCCAACTCAGGATTTTCTACACAGCACACCAGACTGCCTGAGAGAGACCCATACATCTTTATAGGTGCATAGGTTTGAACTCATGGAGGTGAAAGGACCAGAGAAACAGGGGCAATGGAGCCTGTTACTGGAGGATCTAGGAACTGAAGTACCAGCTACACAACCTAAGGCTCTAGGAACTATGGCAACCCAAGGCTGGAGGCTCCAGAAACCATGGTAGTGTCTGCGGCCAGAGGTTTTGGGAACCATGGTGGTACATGAGGTGCAGCAACAGCAGTGCCTGTTTCCAGAAGCTTTAGCAACCATAGAAGCACCCAGACCAGAGCCTCCAGGAACAGTGACAGGACCTACAACCCAGGTATCCTACTGAGTGACCACAACCTTGACTCTCCCAGCTGTGGAGGCTATATGCAAGTCGACCGAACGGTGGAACGAACAGTCACTATGATGCCATTTGGTCGATTTGCACTGACCACCAAGGGGCAGACAATGCAGGAGCTGCCCCTTGGTGGTCAGTGTGTTCCCACAGAGTCCCTGAGCCAGTCTCATGGCTGGCAAGCACAGCAGTGGTGGTGGGAGCTTCTCTTGCCTCAGCGGCAGTGCTAAGGATGTCTGACTGATAGCTTAGGCCCACTCCCTGCAGGCTCCTGAGAGCTCCCCGACTGCGAGGGGGCACAGACTGGGCTGAGAGATGCCCTCGAGTGCACAAATTTTGTGCTCCGGGCCTCTAATTATTTATAATAGCTAAGATGTGGAAACAGCCCAAGTGCCCATCAGTAGATGAGTGGATAAAAAAGCTATGGTACATTTACACACTAAAATATTATGTGGTTGTAAAAGGAAGGAAATCTTACCCTTTGTGACAGCATGGATGGACCTGAAGATTATTAAGCTAAGCAAAATAAGTCAGTTAAGAGAAAGACAAATACCATATGATCAAATTTATATGTGGAATCTAACAAACAAACAAACTGATAAACAAAATAGAACCAGAAGCATGGATACGTGGAACAGACTGATATTAGAAGGGAGGGAGGGAGGGGGATGGGATAAAAGAAGGTGAAGAGATTAACCAAAGAACATATATGCATAGCCCATGGACACAAGCAATAATGTGGTGAATGACAATGGAGGGGGATGGGGGCTGATTGGAAGTGGGCAAAGGGGGGAGGAATGGGGTTTTCTGCAATAGTGTCAACAATAAAAAAGAATTTCT